TGCAGTTAGTTACACAAATTCAGTTATGTGATGAAATCGGATAGGGATGAAATTGTTTAGGGATGAACGGGTTTAAAAGTTTTAAGAGTTTAAGAGTTTTTAAGAGTTTTAGCCAAATGCTTTATAATATAGTATAGATAACCGGTTAAACTATTCATGATTTATAACTAATTAAATATCAATTTATCTATCTCTGAAATATAAGATAATAAATGTAATACCGATTAAAACAACACATACATATTTTGAGTGTATATGTTATTAGAATTTTCTCATAATAAATTAAAATCACTGGTTTGACTTCAGCTTACAAGTCTCGTAAGTAAGGTTCCTGATTGGTCAAAAACATTTTCCCAGCATTTTTATTTATAAATCAGGTTTTTTTTTTTTCAAGACACTCCATTTTTTGGGATAGATAATAGGTCCATTTTTTTATTAAGTTCGATTTTCAAGATTTATATAGTTAATTTAATTAGTCTTGTAAGGAACATATAAATGGACAAAAGTCACAAAACAAGGGTTTTAGCCTCTTGAGTGAGGTGGGTTTTGATAGAAGCTTAGACATGATATATAATTTGAATATTTGAATTATTAATTTACTGTAACTTTTAATTTAACATGATTAATTTACAACGTATCTGAGTAGTCTATTTTAAAATATAGCATGATTAATTAGGTATGTATTTTCATTTTTGACAAATCTTGCGAGACCAAATGTTAAGATATATCTTGTGTAGATCACATAATCATGCCGAAAAGATAGTTGTAATCATCTAATTAATATTGATTATGTGGTGCATATGTGAATGATGTCTGACCTTATTTTTCCAAGTTTGTTTAGTCTCGATTATATTTTTCACGTCCACTTTAATTCTCCAAATCAAGTTCGAACGTAATAGTCAGTTCCAACTAATTTAGGTTCGATCTTAACTTACCACTCATACCAAGTACTAAACTGCTAGACCTAAAAGCGTTTTACTACTTTCAACATTAACGTTTGTGAAATTAAAGTCTATTTCCGTTACTTTGGTTGTACCCGTACTGAGGTGTAGCTAGGGTTATGATGTGGTTGATTACTTCTCAAAGGGTGTAAAAATAAGTTTATATATAGAAGACATAAGATCACGCCAAACAAATAAGTTTTATGTGTCTTTATGTCGAAAACATTCTAAGGCTACGCTAGCTTATTGAGAAGTCGTAGATTCTCATGCCTACATAAAATGTAAAAAAGAAGTCCACTTAATATTTTCGCAAGAGACTTGCTTTTTGTCTCACTTTCAAAAAAAGGCATAAAGGGCTTCTTATCATTGAGTCGTAATCTTAGAACTTTCTTATAAGATTGAACTTCTTTTTGCGTAAGAATAATGAAAACGTGGTTTGAATAACTTATTCATTTAAGAAGTGTTTGATGTTTCATTAACCAAAAAACACGACTAAATGACTTCGACAAACTAAGCGGTAGTCTTGCGCCTTCACAATATCAACAAAACTCTCAAAATCTTACAAATAGTGAAATCTCGACCTTTCGGATAATGAACACCATGCATATGTGTCTGACGATTGAACTAAATGCACTTGAAAGGTCAACTTGAACATATATATAGATTTAACACCATGCAAAAGGACAACCCTACTAGGTAGATTATTTGAATGATGGTTGGTTAATTTTTGTACCTATCTTATTATTCATATCTAATCTTAATTAGCAAATCATATTTTGTATGATCTACATGATTAATGATTCTCATAAATGATTATTTTACGCGGTTATAGTTTCACATCTGATGAACTTTTCCCGCTTAACTTTCTTACCAAGCGTGGCAGTCAAGGGTACCTTCCTAGAGGTTTTGAAGACTATAAGTCGTTCCACTCGTTCAGAACTCATTGGTCTATTTAAGTTAAAGATCGAAGTAAGATCATTCGTACTAAAAACGAAACATAAAGATATAGCAACAATTAACATAACGACAAGCAATAACATTCTACAACAAATTAAGAATCATCTATGTTTGGATATGCGTATATATGCATACTGTACAATTAATCATAAATTAATAACCAAAACCGAAAAATAATTGGTTTTAATGTTGTTACTTAATAGTAAAATATTATTTAGATAATATGAGTCTACAAATGACTTGAGTCATTCATCATTCTTAAATGGATAAATTTAGATTGTGATACTAATGGGGAAGAGTTTTCATTTTAGGGACCATTCATGAAAAAGAAGGTATCAAAGAGCAGAAAATTGTATAAAACTTGATAGTATAAGGGTACGCTTTGTAAAATTCGGATCTTCCTAGGATATGTACGGCTACGATGACAAGCATGATGAAAGCAAAGGTGACAGATGATTCAGACATCTCCAGCTATGTTATGAGTCGTATATATACAATGTGCCTGTTTATACGGCCTCTCAGAGGCTTTAGTAGTGATACCAGTAAACCCTAACTAGACGCAGAAACTTGAGCGATGGAGCGACTTGGAGAGGACGAGCTAACCGCCATTTTCCAGAGAATTCACGGATCAGATGACAGGAGATCCTTCCATCAAGTTTCCAAGCAATTCTTGAGTGTTGCATGCATCCGCCTACTGAAGTTATACAGTTCAGTTCCTGATTTCCTCTATGAGATCTTACCTGCATCCCCGAATCTGGAATCATTTGAATGCTCTAAACCACTTTCGAACACTCATATGAAACTCCTGGCGCAGTCATGCCCCAAGCTCAGGTCCCTCAACCTCAATTCAGAGGTAAACTCTAATCCTGATCAGGCGGATCTTGTGCCAGGTGAGTTTGATTTTAACGATGATGGCTTGTGTTCAGTCGTGAATGCTTGTAGTAATCTGTATGCAGTGCTCTTAAGTCAGAGATCATACATTGGGGATGTCGGAGTTGCTTCCCTTATAAAACAATCATCCAAAAGTTTAACATATTTAGATCTGAGCAGATGTGTTAATGTCACAGATGAATCACTCAAAGCTATTGGAAAAGCAAGTTGTTTAAGGGTTTTGAGCCTTCAAGGTTGTCGTTTGATTACCGATTTGGGTTTATCTTATCTGGCAAATGGGAACGTGAGGAATTGTTTGGAGGTACTTAATTTGGCTGAATGTGATAAGATTAGTGATAATGGTATGTTTTGCTTGAAACAGATGCTTCGTCTAACTGATCTGAATTTGTCAAAGTGTGGGGTTAATGTGACAAGCAAAGGGATTTTGTCCCTATGCCAACTCCCAAACATAGAGAGACTGGACTTGTCTTGGTTGATTAACATTACAGATATGACACTGACTGTAATTGCTAGTGAGTTTGTTAAACTCAAAGCGCTCTATTTGACCGGTTGTAAGGCGATAAGTGGTGATGGTCTGTGTCATTTTGCTTTTCATGGAACCCTGGAGGAACTGCAATTGTTTTCTTGTAACAATATTTCTGGCGAGAATGTGGAGTTGCTTGTCTTAACCTGCAAGAAACTGACATATCTTGGGGTAAACAAGACGATGATCAAGATGCCGATGCTGGAGTCAGTTGAGGATAGGTTTTATATGGGAAATTGCTGGATAGATTGGCAATGATATGATCAATGACATATAATCTCCATGGCTGGAACTTTTCTGCTTTCTGTTCAAGGTAATTAATAAAGACCATGCTACCATTTGGTCATCAGCATTTCAGTTTGGAACTTTGGGTTTTTTACTTTGTTTTATTAATTAGCACATGCACTTGACATTCATTTACTTGATTTGGAGTGGCAGTACTCTTATGAATATTGGTATTGTTCATTGTGAAGTTTGTCAAATAAATTTCTTTGATTCTGTGTTGAACGTTGGTTGTATTTGACATCTTTAGTGACCTTATTTAGGAATTCTCCCTTGATGGTAATTAAAGATGTAAAAACTTGGTGTACCTGGAGCCTCTTTTCAAGTGAGTGTAATATGTATATATAGCCTCTTTTTCAAATGAGTGTAATATATATATATATATATATATATATATATGTATGTGTGTATAGAGCCTCTTTTTCAAGTGAGTATAATATATATATATATATATATATATATGTGTGTGTGTGTGTTTATAGAGCCTCTTTGTCAAGTGAGTGTAATATACATATATGTGTATATCTAGAGCCTCTTTTTCAAATGAGTGTATTATATATATGTGTGTATAGAGCCTCTTTTTCAAGTGAGTGTAATATATATATATATATATATATATATGTGTGTGTGTGTGTATAGAGCCTCTTTCTCAAGTGAGTGTAATATATATATATATATATATATATATATATATATATATTTGTGTGTGTATATAGAGCCTCTTTCTCAAGTGAGTGTAATATATATATATATATATATATATATATATATATATATATATAGGGGAGCGATCAAATGCAAACCACTCAATTTGTACAAACAGTGCAAACCGCATTCAACCAATCATAATTTTTCATTTTGTTCATTTTTTT